AAGAGTAAGAACTATTGCTGACCCTAATAAATCTGGACTGCATTAATTCCTTCACACACTTCTCGATCTCGGTCTTTTGCACGAGACCATATCTATAAGGTCTGTTGTTGGGTGGTTTACAACCTTGTAATAGTGGAATTCTGTGATCTTAAGGTCTGTAAGGTGGTAATTGGGTTGGTGTAGCAAAAAGTGTCTCAAATTCAATCAAGAGTTGCTGCAATTGATGAGCTTCAGTTGTAGATAGGTTGTCCGAACTAGCATTCACAACTTCAGGTTCCATACTAGACACCGTTGCACCTTCAATCTCCAAGTGACACAAAACTGCCCCCACAGTAGTGTCTTGTTGCAGCAGCTTACTCATTTGTAAAGCTAAAATTTCCTCCAGTTGGGTAGTCGGTGGTCATGTACTAGCAATGCAATAAGTGGTTCCGTCTTCCTGAAACTTCATATATAATTTCTCGAAATCCCACAGAATTGGTCCAAGGGTTCTTAACCATTGAACTCCCAAAACAACATCACAACCTCCCAAATGTATGGAATACAAATCTATAGTACAAGTATAATTCTGAATTGTCACAAGTACTTGAATCAAGGTACCTTGAGTAGAAACCTTACCCCCATCAGCAATTTTCACATTAAAAGTGTGCCCAGTATCAAGGGTACCCTTTAACCTTTTAACCAATCCACAATTCACAAAATTATGTGAGCTTCCTGAATCAATTAATATGGTGACAGGACAATTCTTTACAAATCCAGTGACCTTCATAGTCTTAATAGTGGGTGGCGCAGGAATACCAAACAATGCACATGCTGTGATTTCTAGTTCTTCATTATAAGCTTCCTCATCTTCACAAGATTCAGGATCTTGAACATCAATTAGTAGTAATTGCTTCTTCTCACAAGAATGCCCAATGAAGTATTTTTCCTTACAATGGAAACACAAACCCTTCTTTCGACAATTTTCCACCTCTTCAGGCGTCAATTTCCGTACAGTAGGAATTCGAGTTTTATTCTCAGGCAATGTGTATGTATTAGTATTTTGGAAAGGTGATTGGAAAGTAGACTGGGGTGCAGGGGTCTTAGAGAAAGATCTCACCTTTAAGTCCGACAACTTAGCATCGAGTTGTTGTGCCATTGCTGAAGCTTCTAAGACATCTTTGGGACGCAACAACTTCACATCGTGCTTGAGTTCTGCTTTCAACCCGCCAATAAAGCAAGATTTGAAAAGAGACGAGCTGATGTCCTTCGTTCGATTTGCCAAACGTCTGAATTCTGTGATATAATCCTTCAAGGTACCGGTTTGCCTCAATTTCACCAAACTTTTTGCAACATCTTCCAACTCGGATGGGCCAAACTCTTGGCACAGAACCCTGGAAAATTCTTCCCACGAAGGAAAGTTCTCCAAACAACGTGCCCATTGAAACCATTGTAAAGCCTCTTCTTGCATATGGAACGATGCGAGCCTCACCTTCTTGGAGTCTTCAACGTTGAAAAACTTGAAATAGTGTTCCATTCTGTAAATCCACCCCAATGGGTCATCACCCTCCATGAATCTTGGAAAATCCATCTTCAAGAATGGTTGTCTTGGCTGCTGATTGTAATTTTGCCTAAATTCAGGATGAAGACCATTCGTATTCACCCGACCACGAATTTGATTGTCGCTAAGAGTGGCTTCTGAAGATTCACCAATCGACCCACCATTGCAGCGCGTCATAAAGGATTGCAGTTGCTGGAGGATCGAACGTTGGTCTTAAAGTTGATGAAGAATCGAACTCTGTGTTGACTTGAATTCTTCCTGGGTAGCCTGAACGTCGCCGAGCTTGGATTCGATGTCTGAAACCCTAGACTCCATGGATCTTCTTGAAGCCTGTCGCGTCATACAAAATGAAGGATTGAGGGGTGAAACGAAGAAGGAAGGGGTTAATGAAAAGTTGTTGTATTTCTGTTTGTTATTCTTTGTACAATTAGGAAGAAGTGGAGAAATGGTTTAACACAACTGTAAGCTATCCATCCGACTAAGAATATGATTTTCGCTGATTAGGTAGCGGGTGAATTAAATGATTTAGTTTATTCTGAAGCTCCTCCAAGTTTTAATCCTTAGACAATTTCGAAAGCTTGCAAAGACTCTTAAGTTCTAATTGATATGGTTGACTTAGAGATCCTTTCAAATCCAACAGATTCAGGTTCCGTCTCTTCTGCATTCACTCTAGTGGGTTCACCATTTGTGGGTGATGATGGTTTCACTTTGATTTGCAAGCTTAAAATTGAAAAGAAGTGGGCGGCTAAGAAGAAAATTAAATGAAGCATATTTATTGGAATGCCCGAGGTATGGGTAATGATGCCACTCATTAGGTGTTAAAATAGTTGCTTTGGATTCACGTTCCAGTGAGGGTGCGTATTTATGATGATGCCACTCATCGGGTGTTAAAAAGTTGGCTTCAATTCATGATGGTTCAGATCTTTTGGATGATCTGGTGCTATTCAAGATCACATTGTGTCTCATTACAAAAGTTTGTTTTTTTCAAGTGATGATACAATAAATTCTGGGATTGTTGAAAGAGTAATTTCTCCTTGGTGATGGCGGAGAAGAATATTTCTTTGCTTAGGGTGCCCATCTTAATGGGATATTTTCAATGGTAAAAAGTATAGATCATTTTAGCTCTCCTGGGCCAGATGGGTTTAATTGTTGCTTCTTTGTTTCTTATTGGAGTATTGTTGGTGCCAATGTGGTTTTGGCTATTCAGAGTTCCTCTTCATTTTAATTCTAATTTGGTGGTTCTTAATCCTAATATTCCAAGTGCAGATTCAGTTTCACAACTCCATCCTATTACTTTAGCCAACTTTGTTTTCAAAATAATCACACAAATCCTCACTTATAGACTGAGGCCAATTGCACCCAATTCTTACGTTTGAATGCATGAATATTTTACATAAAAGATGTGTGGAGGGTAATGTTGTCCTAAAGTTAGACATTAGGAAAACTTAGGAAAACTTTAGACCTTTTAGACTGGTCTTTTTAGTTACGGGTTCTGTTAATTGGGTTGAGGAGTTTCTTCATTCTACACACCTTTCTTTTTATATCAATGTGCAAGTTTCAGGCTTTTTCTGTTACTCAAGATGAAATTGGTACCGGGTGAAATATCCTGTATATAAAAAATTATAATCCACTGGATTGACTAGTTAAGTCCGCTAGTCAACTAAGATAGATTTGTTAGTCAATAAATCGAGGATTCAATTGCCAATTTCAATGCCCAAAAACTATCTTAGTCAGCAAGGCTTCAGTTCGTTGCAAGTTATTAATGTGTCAAATGGGCAAGATTGTGAGCACATACCAGTTTAATGATCAATAGATATATGTAGCATGTATGTGTATGTGAGATGTGTGACACAATAACAATAACTTGAACACAAGATATTTTTGGCCCGAAAAACCCACCTTTAGGTTAAAAAATCGGGGACTCTCCACCAAGGGCGAAGCTACATAGGAGCGAAGGGGGGTGACCGCCCCTCTGCTTGTCGGAAAACAAAGGCAGGAGCTACCCTTGAACCCTCCTGGTTCGGCCGGAAACTGGGAAGCACCACGTGGTGGTTCTGAAACCAGAAACCTGCGCAGCTCACTGCGCGTAGGGTTTTTTTTTTAATTTTAAAATCTAGGCCAAAACGACGTCATTTTGGACCCGATAAAAAAATTTAATTTTTTTTGGTAAACGGTGTCGTTTGGGTCTGATCAAATAAAAAAAATGAGGGGACCACTGGTCCCATCCCCATCCCAATCCCACCCCGTTTCAATTAACCCCCACCCTTTTCCCAGATAACAAATCCCATCCCCCACCTTTACTCCCCTTTTCCCCCACACGACAAAACCCTCCCAGTCCCATATTTAACTTTTCAAAATTGTCCCAAACCCTAGGAACACAAGAAAGCAGCCACCCCCACCCGTTCCGTTGGTTGGCCACCAAGACTATTGTCCAGTCCAGAGTCGAGACACCACGCCAGCAGCTCCAGGTAAATTTTTAATTTTTATTTATTTCAAACCCTAATTGATTATTGAATACAAAATTTTGTTTATTTGATATATGATTATAGGGTTATACATTATATGGTTATTGATTATAGATTATTCATATGAATACTATGATTATTGATTTTTTTTTGTTTTGAAGTACATAAAAGAGGATTGATACATTATATATACATATAGGAACTTGAATCACATATAGTCTAGTAAGAAAAAAAAAGCTGAACATGGTGAAAACTTTTACATCATATTTACATTAACATAATAAACCCCAATTCAACCAACTAAAACCCTCATTCAAATGCATTGTTGCTGTTGGTACTGATTAATTACATCTGTAGTCTACTCTAGGATAAAAATTGAATTCTTGATTATTCATAATTTCATATGATTGTTGGTATTGATTAATTAAATTCGTAGTATATTCTAGGATTAAGAGTCTAAGATAGATATATTTTTTTCTTTCGTTATACAGTTACGTAATGGAACAATACTATAAGAAACAATGCTTAAATCCTTCTCCAAATATTCCGGATAGTCCTCCTCTTCCTTCAAATATTCCGGGTAGTCCTCCTCCACCTTCAAATATTCCGAGTAGTTGGATGAAATATTAGCTATTCTTCCTACAGACCCTGAACTGAGATGTCAAATGCTTGATTATCCACTCAATTGTCACGAAGCAATTCGTAGATACTACCTCTAAAATGAACCTTGTCAACCTAAATCTCACATCATGCCAAGGAAAGCTAGCGACAATCGAAGTTTTATCACAGGTTGGTTTGATAAATTTAAGTGGTTGGAGTATAGTACAGTAAAAGATGCTGCATTTTGGCGTTATTGCTATCTTTTTTAATATGATTTTGATAAAGCGGGTGGTAGTGGCAGTGATTTCTTCACTGAAAAATGGTTTACAAATTGGAGGAAAGGACCCAAAATTTTTTGAGTCCATGAGGGAGGTGTTGGAATTCTTCATAATAAAGCTATGCAACAAGCTAAAGACTTGATGACACAAAAACAACACATTGAAACATTTGTGATCATGCAAACTGATAAAGCTCGCGTTGATTATCACACTTTACTAAGTGGAGCACTTGATTGCACACGATGGTTGTTGCGACAGGGTTTGGCTTTTCGTGGGCACGATGAATCTTTGAAATCGAGCAATAGGGGTAATTATATAGAGTTTATGCAATTTCTTGCTGATCATAATGAGAAAGTTAGGAAGGTTGTGTTTGAGAATGCTCCCAAGAATCTCAAGTATACTTCTTCCGATATTCAAAATGATCTTGTTCTTGCTTGTGCTATTGAAACTATTAATGCAATCACTAAAGATATGGAAGGCACATTTTTTTTCTCTCTTGGTTGATAGATCACGTGATGCTTCCACTAAAGAGCAAATGGCGGTGGTATTGAGTTATGTGAACAAAAAATGAGAAGCAATTGAAAAGTTTTTGGGTGTTTAACATGTCTCCTCTACAACTAGTAGCTCACTTGAAGATGCCATTGAGAGATTGTTTGCTACAACAAATTTGAGTATGTCCAAGTTACAAGGACAAGGCTATGATGGAGCTAGTAATATGAGAGGTGAGTTAAATGGTCTTAAAACAAAGATTTTGAACAAATACCCTCAAACATTTTATATTCATTGTTTTGCACACCAACTCCAACTAGCTCTTCTATTCGTGGCAAAGGAAAATGAGGATGTTGCCAATTTGTTCATCAATGCTAGTAGTTTGGTGAATCTTTTGGATCATCATGCAAGCGTCGTGATGCATTTAGAGAGAAACAACAAGAACAAATTCATAAAGCTCTTGATCTTGGTAATCTTGAAATGGGTAAAGGGTTAAATTAAGAAAGTACTCTCATGCATCCATGTGATACACGGTGGAACTCGCATTATGGTACTATAATTAGTATTATTGTTATGTTTGAAGTCGTGGTTGAGGTGGTTAAATGGATTAAAAGTGATCGCAACCAAGATAATCTCGGTGAAGCAACTAGGTTATTCAAAGACATACAAACTTTTGATTTTGCGTTTCACCTTTTCTTGATGAGACTTATATTGGGAATTACTAATGAGTTATCACAAGCATTGCAAAAGAAAGATCAAGATATTGTGAAAGCGATGACATTAGTGGATGTATGCAAGCAAAGACTACAATCCTTGAGAGATGATGACTTTGGGGACTTGTTTCATGATGTAGAAAGGTTTTGTGAGGAGCATGATATTATCATTCCTAACATGGAGGATTTGCATTTTGTACCTGGAAAATCAAGGCATAAAGCTCCAAAATCACAAACTTCCATTACTATCGTGTAGACCTCTATTTTCAGGTCCTTGATATGCAACTAAAGGAATTGAATGATCGCTTCAATGAGGTAAACACTGAGTTGCTTCTTTGTAGGTATGTTTGAGTCCGGTGAATAATTTTGCATCTTTTGACAAAGCAAAAATTGTTCGTTTAGCCCAACTTTATCCTCAAGATTTTGATCGTATAAACCTCATGAATTGTCCAATTCAACTTGACAATCACATTCATGATATGAAGATGCATAGTGAGTTTTCATCATTGAGAGGAATTAGTAATCTTGCAAAAGAGTTAGTGAAGACCGGGAGGTGTGAAAGCTATATGTTAATGTACAAGCTTCTTACATTGGCTTTGGTGTTACCAGTTGCAACCGCTTCGATGGAGAGAGCTTTTTCTACTATGAAGATTGTGAAAACACCATTGCGTAACAAAATGAGAGATCAGTTGTTGAGTGATAGCATGGTTGTTTACATTGAGAGAGATGTATTTACTTTTATTGATAATGAGCTTATTATGCGACGTTGTCATGACATGAAACCTCATCGCAACAATTGTAATTTGTTTGTATTGATTAATTATGGAAGACATTACTATATAAAAAGATGTAGTTGTTGCCATTTTTCTTTAACCTTGCACTCTTTTAAGTTCGCCCCTCCCCCCAAGAAATCATGGCTTCGCCACTGCTCTCCACTGTGTCCATCCACTAGTGTAAACAAAGGTTCATACAAAGATCACACAAGCTCAACTCCTAGATCCAATTTATGGAACAACTTTACCTTTGTGCAACCTCGTCTTACACAAGATGAACTCCCTCGGTCTTTATGAGATGGCAACTCCTTCTGAGCTCTTCACCTTGTGGTACTGAGATCAACACAATCAATGATGTGATATGATTTTATGACATGCATATGAAATCTGGATTGAAGTGACTAGTCAGAGTCTCTAGTCAAACTGTTGAAGGAAGAATCTAACTTGAAAACAAAAGCTTGGTCTAAAAACGAATTTAAAGCTTAAAACCAAACCAAGACATAAATGCAAAACCTTAAAACAATGCAACCCTAATATATAATGATTGGGTGTTTAATGCATAAGGAAGGTTTGGCAATTAGAGTTTCATAAATGGAGAAGATGCAAGTTCAAAGCCTTAAAGCAACTCTCTCTAAAAATAAGTTATAGACCCCCAAAGAACAATCTGCAACCCTAGAAGCAAATGTACACAAGGAAAACTAATTTTCCGTCAGCCAACTTGTCCCAATGACACTTGTCGGCTGCAAAGGAGATCTAGACAGATCAATGGCCAGAAATTGACTACCAATAGAAAGGTATCAATCAGCCCATGTGGGTTGTCTTAAGTTGTGTGCCAAGACATTTAGAAGTCAGTGCGCAAAATTGACTAGACAATTAAACTCGACAGAATGCAACACAAATAGAGATATGAAATGCACATGAATGAACAAACCTTTGAGTTGAAATGTGTCATTTCATGAACATTTCCTCTAGCAGCAACAACCCATAATCAGAGTATATCCTAAAGCTAGATTGAGCATGTGTGATGATTCAATTACAATATTTGACAAGGAAAGCTAAACACTTAAGACTAGACTTTACACAAGAAAGGTTCTGCTAGGAAGATCCGTTTTCCCTCTTTTATTTTGTCTCATCGATGAGGTTCTTAGTCGTGGTTTAACTTTGTTAGTCTCTTCTAGGCATTTAGTGCTTATGCATGCCCAGCGTAGTCTGTTTATCGCTTCACACATTCTTTTTACAAATGATATTATGATTTTCTTACGGGGAACTCGTTGCAATCTTCATCGTCTCATGCACTTTATTGTTGAATATGGACTCAACTCAAGTCAACTAATTAATGAATCTAAATCTGTAGTGTTTTGTGGGTAAATATGCTCACCAAACATGTAGGTTTATTAAGAAACTACTTAGAATTGGCTTAGGTTCTTTTCCTTTTAAATTTAGGGTTTCTTATCTTTTGGGTTCGTTCCATGCGTAGTTACTTTCAAGACATTACAGATATACTATCTCAAGTGGGGCATCTTCAGCTTATCACTTATGTCACTCAAAGCGTTCTCATTTATAGCTTCTAGGTTTATGCTTAGCTGTGTCTTCTCCTAAGTACAACGTTGGGTGGAGAATTTTTTTTCTAGTTGGCTAATTCTAATTCTCATGGTGTTCCTCTTGTCTCCTGCATGTATGCTATCATCCAAAGACTCTTGGAGGTTTAGGCTTGAAATATTTGTCAGTTATGAACTGCTCTCTTTTTGTGAAATGTTGCTAGGATATGCTTAAATCGCCTTCTTTGATGGCAGTTTTTATGCGCACCCATTTCATTCATAGAGGTTTGATTCCTTTATTCGTGTAGAAAAGACTTTTGTTTGGCTTGGTCTTAAGAAGTTTATTCCCATTATCTCGCCGAATTTGACATGGGTCCTTGAAGATGGTTCACAAATTTCTTTTTGGTCAAATAATTAGTTGGGTAGGCTTTTAGTATCACATCTTGAGATTCCTAATACTCCAGCTCATATTATTAATGATCATATATGCAACTTGCTTGCTAATGTGGAGGCTTCAATTGATGTTACTCATCTCCCTTTACAAGCATCTACAGATTCCTTGTGTTAGTCAAGCTCTTTATCTTGCCTTCTTTCAGTGAAAGAGGCTTATTCTCATTTGCTTGGTTTTGACAACCAGGTACCTTGGGGGAAGATAATTTAGTCTCAATGAATTCATCCTCGCAAAAGTCTTCTTGTTTGGAAGGTGTTGTAGGGACGCCTTCTCATAGATTCAGTTCTTGAATGTATGGGAATTATAAGTTTCATGTAGTTCACTATGTAAATTCAGCTTCAAAGTCTATTTCGCATATCTTTTTGGAATTCCTTGGACAGTAGCTTTATGGCAATGGTTATTGGCTCTCTTCTAATGTCCTCTAAACATGGTGGAGTCTTTTATAGGGTTTTTTTTCTAAAACTTTTATTGTTGGTTTTTCAGGCTCTTCTAGAAAGCTTTGGGTTTTGGTGGTATGTACTTTTAACTTGGTTTTGTGAAGCAGCATTTGCGTGTTTCATTCATAGTAGTTCCTACTCAATTGTTCTACCTATTTACTCAACTTTGGGTATCTCCCTAGCTTCCGTCGTTGCCCTCTCATTCATTCCGAGGATTTGGCATCTACTTGTGGTTTTTCCGCAAATGGAAATGACGGTTTAAGTGGGATTTTTTCGTAATTTGGATGAGCATGTGCTTGGTGCTTTTGCTTCAAGTATGGAGTTTGTTAGTTTAGTGGATGCGGAAATTTTAGCTTTCATTGAGGTAGTTCGTGTTACTTGGGTTCAAGATTGGAAGCATATTTGGATTGAAAACTGATTCCATATTGGTTATTGATTATCTTTATAGATCTCCTAATTCCGTTCCTTGGTTTCTCTTGGTTGATTAGAATAATTTTTTTTGACACCTTCGTCTATGAGTATTGTTGGAGCAAATTTTGCCGTCGTGAAGTGAAACCTGCATAGGTCAAAGATAAGGAAACACCATGAGTCCAAGCGTCGGAGAGGATGGTTCCCGCGGTGGAGGCTTCGATGCCTAAGTCAGTCGTGGTAGTACGGAGAGTGTAAAGTGTATTTCTAAGGTGTTTTGGGCTTGCCTGTGGTGAGGGGTCATGAGTCATATTTATAGGCCCTTTGTGAAGTTGGTCCACGTCACCCGACATTCTCTTTTGTGGCTTGGAATAAAGGGTCCAACTAGGAGACCATTCTGACATACGGACGCCACGTCGGGGAAGGATACTTGTCTTTTCTCCATCATGGGTGGGAGGAGTGGTGCGCTAGACTGTGCTGCCTGACACATCTCGTGGCCCATAAGGTACTGTATATGCTAGCCTGTGCAACCTAGTACCTAAACAGTTGGCAGAGTCCGTACTTTAGATTGGCTTGGCTCACTCCGAGGGTATGTCGATCGTATTCGATCATATCGAGAACCACCTGATCAGATGAGTCCCCTTCGGGGGTAGGCTTAGCCTTCTGTTCATTCCAGGTTGCATCTAACGATGCGAGCTTATGTTATGTCCACACCGGAGAGGTGATAATTTGGGGTCTTACAAGTATTATTTTATAGATGGATTTATCGGGAGGGTAATCAAGTTGTTGATGTCTTGGCTTCTTTTGGTGCGGCTAGTAGTGCCTATACTGTTTCAGATTTTGCAGCTACCCCCCATGCTCGTGACCTTGATTTTTGTCCTATTTTTTGTTTTCCTTTTCGTTGATGTTTCTTTGTTTTTCTTTTTGCAGGTTTAGGCCTCAAGCCCATGCTTGTATTCTTTTATTTTCGCTTTTTATTATTTAATTAATAAATTTCGCAAGAGAGGTGGCGAGGGGATCATTCTATATGGGAGTTAGCCTTTTTAATTGCTCTGAGCGGAAAGGAAATAGCCTACTTTGTAGTTGATGACTAATCCCGGAGTCTTGGTTCTTTCTATCTGCCTTGTGTGAGTTTGGAGAGTAAGTCTACTATTATAGTCAACGATCAAGCGTTGTATGTAGTTCAATTTGCCTGATTCATTATTCTCCATTCATAAAAAATAAAAAAATAAAAAAAGTGGGACCATAGTGTGCGCCATGTAAGTCCTAGCGGGTCAAAATTTAATTTGTTGATGAACATTTATTCACCAAAATTTACATGTCTACAACGTGTTCGTGTATTGTGAAAATCTGAACCTTCAAATCAAACGATCACAACTGAGGAAGGAGCCTCTAGTCCTTGGGTTCTGTGACATTTAAGTTAAGGTTGTGCTAATCACTTCACTAATGTGGATCTTCAGCGACAGGTTCAATCTCCGCCACATTGTTGTGAAATAAGAATGTACGCGGAACTAAGATCAAATTGAAAGACCAAATATACTCGACCATTATTTTGACCATCACAAAGAATCTGGTTTGGCCGTGCTTGTGAGGAACTCTAAAAGTGACATGGGATTAACCAATCATGAACACCAAATTTTCCAACAATGCAAATTAATAAAGTGCCCTCATGACAAAGCACCAGGAACGAAACTTCTTCAAAAGGTTGTCTTTCATCAGTCGCCATAGACACACTTCCTCTATCCTAAAACAAGGTGTGTTAACCACCGAATGACTATGATTACACAATAGAGACACACACTCATCCATGAAACGAGATGTGCCACAACGGAATAGTCCTTCAATTACATCTCCTTGATCCTTAAACATAGTGGCGGATCCAAGATTTTAAACTCGGGGGGTCCCAATAATAAAGGTCAAAAAAATTTATAAAAAAAAATAACATTGAAAAGATAATACATTTCATTCAAAGTGTATGGGAACTCATACTTTGTGGGCCTACAAGGTCCCATTTGCAAATATGCTCTTCAGACCTCATCTTAAATATTAGAAGGATAGTCCTTCATTCGAATTCTTTTCCCCGGGCCTCTCTCAAGATTATTAAAATCAATGTCACACTCATTTTGTCTTGAGCTCGAACTATCCGAACAAGTAAATGGTGCTATTGGCTTTGGCTTGAAAAATCTTTCCATATTTCTTATTCTAAACTACACATTTAACCAAAAACACAAAACAAATACCAATCAACCAATAAACAAAAATTCCATCTAAATTTCAATTATAAAATGAGTATACAAACATAAAACATATCAACAATCATATCAATAATAGACTAAAAATCTCCACCAATATCTAATATAATTTAATTAAGATTAGATTAGAATACCAAAAAACTTAATTGAATTTTGAACCATATAGTGGTGGCTTGGAGAATTGAAACAAGTGGAGGTATGATATTGAAGTAATGTAATTATAATACGGGATTGGGTGGGATTAGAAATTTAGGGTTTTGGGTGAATATAGGAAAGATAGGGATTAGGGGGGGGGAATAGAGGAACGGAACGGGGAATGAAAAGGGACTCTCTGGAAAGATGGCCCATGTGGGGCTAGGCATATGGAATCATGGACAATTGACAAACGGCACCGTTTGTCTCATTAGCTTTTAACCAAAAAAAAAAAAAGCCAAAACACTAAGTTTTGGACCAACTTTTTAAAAAACCCTGTTTTCTTTCTTCTCCCCCTCAACCCCGCTGTCTTCTTCTCTGTTGCAAGCTGCAACCTGCAAGCACAGACCTCGTGTTCTCATTGAGGGGTCCCCCGGAAAATTTATAGCAGCATTTTAGGATCGCAGAGTGGTCCTGGGACCTCCCTAGTCCCTCTGTGGATCCGCCTCTGCTTAAACAAGCTTTACTAGTTGCCAACTCAAACTTCTCAATTCTGAAACAAGTTGTCTCTGGCTAGACGTGAGAGATTTTGATAGCTATCCAAGTCATGTAGGCTCTAAGTAGAACGATATTGGAAGCGGTCCTAAATTCTATTCAAATTCCAGTTTCTTGTTGATGAAGGAAAGAAAAAAAAAAAGAAACCACAGCAATTAAAAAAGTCAAATTCGCAACAAGTTGAAAGAATGAATAGACAAAATCAGTCTCAAATAGATATCAGATTCTCTGACATAGAAACATTTTCACAAGTCAAATACTACAACAAGTTATGAAAAAAGTCATTAATCAGTCTAAAAACACTACGTTAAGTTATAGTAAACTTGTCCTACAGTTGATACAAAGAAAACATCTGATCTACTGTAGAACAGATTGGAGACCCAACAAACGAGTTCTCTATTGACTGCGCCTTCTGGGCTCAATAGCCTTAATTGCATGTTCCATCTGTAGAGAAAGTTTTTGAAGTTTTGTTAAGAGAAAAATGGATAAAAATCAGCTTACTAGAGCATTTCAAATTGAAGAACAGTCGCCACATAAAATATTATAAAATCTGGCATCTTCATAAGGTCTTAAAGTACAAAGTCTCACAATTCTTTTTTTCAGTGTGGCATGTCTTCATTATTAATCAACATAGCAATGACCTCTATATACCTCTGTATTTCTTTATATTGCATATATTAGAACAGTAGAGCACAAGATGAAGAAGAAACATTTCTGCAAAAATAAGCTCAGAAAGTCAAGATTCAGAATAAGTATTACCTGAAGAATGTGATTCAGATTCTCCTGCAGTTGAAGATATTCACGTCTGACCATGTCAAAGCCTGTGAAGCACCTGTAAGCATAACATTTTCCTTACAAGATTTTACAAGAGAAAGTCACCATGGTAGATTATATAAGGTAAGTTGTAAAGTCTATCCTGAAGTAGCTAGAATCTTTGTTCGTTCTTTTAAAAAAGGAGAAAAGGACACTGCTAAAAATTCCTTGCCATACTTAAATGCGCACACTATATCAACTAGAAAAAAAGTGTGAAGGTTGTTCATTGATATTCTTTCTCTTTACCTATAATGCTATTTCGTCTTCGAATTTTACTTCATGACTTTAATTATTTTGCAGCTTCATATAGGTAGGGCTATCCTTAACACTATGTTCAAATTTTTGTTCAATTAAATTTTGTAATATCCTCTTCGTGTTGCACTATTTACCTAGAATATAAATAAATCAATTGGAGATGAAGATATTAATCTTTACGAAGGAAAATTGAGAGATCCTTAGACTGCCTCTAATTCCTTGCTTATGTTTCTTTTGGCATAACCTTTGACAAAGAGTTGTCTTAAAGATGAATTCACTACAATTCTACAGAAAGCAAAATTTAGAACTCCGTGGGCTCGTAATTAGCTTGTTTTGCTCAAAATTGTAAGATAATAGTTTGGGATGGTAAGATAAGAGTTTGTACCCGTCTTTATTGAATGCTACACTGGCATTTCGAAGCACACAACAGGCGTCAGCCATCCGGCAACCACCAATACTGCAATGCCAAGTGCCCCAAATGGGATGAATACTCTTTTATCAAAGTAAATGATGAAACAGCCAAGCCATTTGGGTTCATGATAGACACAAAAAGCAGAGGGGTTAAAACTGAAAGTTCATAACTCAAGTAATCTGTAAATATCGTGAAAGAAACTCCACCTTTTTCCCATGTCACAATTAAAACTTAAGTAGAAAGTAGCCTTATGTGAACTGTCTTTGAATGCACAAATTATCCTTGTCCATGATAACCATTTAGTTAAAATCTACGCATTGGTTAGCCACAGATTGGAAAAGCAACCAGCGACTCAAACAACTGAAACTTGGCTCGAAGGACAAAAGTCTTTGCCGGCACTAAGGATTAGCTAAGGGAGGAAATTAAGACTTAGGACTGAATTATTTGTGAGGTGAAGTAATGAGAATGCTAGAATAATCAGCTTTTAATTCTTTCAACAGTTATTACGATAGATTCTCCCAATTTTCAGGCAGGTCATGCAGAGTGCTGCAGGCAGCAAGGAATTGATCAGATATTAGAACCTACTGATGGCAGGGAATGAGATGTAAGTAAACTTTCTAGATCACACAGACGCGGCAAAATCACAAAATATTGAGTGAATTAAATGTAAATGGGAAGCAACGTAAAAATTGATAGGCGATACTACCTTGCACTACTTCCCTTGAGCTGGTAGGCAATTTCTGTCACCTTAGGGTAGTTGATAAGAGGTGCGCCCCTAAAAATTGAAATCTTCAAAATTGGTCAGAATATTATAAAAAATAAAAAATAAAAAAAATAAAAAACCAACTACTTAAAATCATTGAAGACAATTACAGAAGTCTGAAGAGATCTGCTATGGCTGCATCAGCATCACGAAGGAACATGGTTAACGCTTCTATAACTAAGCAAGGAGTTTGGCTTTCTAACTCTTTCATTTCATCAAAGTGATAGTCCAGTATTCCCTGACAGAAACATGGTGATTAGTCATCTCCAATTTATATGATCATTCTTTGTTAGTTAAAAGTTAAACAGCAAATTTGAAATATTAATCTCTTAAAAGTCAGACTATCCAAATATTAATCCTACGACAAAGTTTTACAACTGAACTAAACACTGAACAGAAAACATCTGAAATGTCATCAATAGAAGTAGATATCCATAAACAAACATTTTCAGTACTCAATTAAAATAAAAACAATCTGGGGTCTACTGGTGGCACAGAGACAAAATACATTTTGTTTCCCAGGAAAATAATGGTCATATTTCTTAGCAGCAGATAGCAGACGTACCCTTATCCACATGATCTTACAAAAATTAACAAAACCAAGGCCGCCATCTTTTTGTTTTACTGCTTTCCCCTCTAAATTTCCTTCCTTTTTCATTAACAAAACGGATTCTGAACACTCAATTTGATCAGCATTACATGCAAATCAGAAACATATGTTTGTTTTTGACAATTCAGAAACATGTACGTTCGTTTTGACAGACATGCAAATCAGAAACTTATATTCTTTTTGTGCTAACAGTACTGAAAGAAGTCTATAAAGATAAATATGCTAAACTAATTAAAACCCAATTCTTTTTCACATATATTTCTGACAATTAAACACACAGAATCCTCAATACCAAATCTAAAAGAAGAAAAACACAATTCAAGGTTATCCATAAACAAAAAAGGAATTGAGGAAAAGAAACAAATAATGGGGGTTCACCTGCTCTCGCAAGGAGCGGACGAAGTTGTTGAGTTGTTCGGTGAGTGGAGTAGTCCCAGCCATCTTTCTCCTCTATCTCCGACCTTGAGAACCCAAAAGCCTCTCTCTATCTCTCTCTCTCTATCTTTGTAGGGTTTGTAGCAGCTGTGACTGAGACTGTGACTGCGACAGTGATGAGGTTTGAGGTTGGCATGGTTATCGTGGTGCCAACTGCGTCACTATCACTACAATCCAAACTGGCGGTTTCGTCCAAGTTTGGAAGTAGTATTTTCTGCACTTTTGGGTTTTTGCTTCATTTGGAATCCCCATTACTCCCCACTCCTAGCGGTTACTCTGACACTGGATTTGCCCGCCCACGTGCGTCCCGAACCATTTCAGCCCCACCAAAACCACAAAGGTTATTCTCATGTTTCTGTTGGGGGTGGGGCCCTACCCAACCTGAATGAAAAACCAAACCGATAATGCTATAGAAACCATATTTTTTTTATCAAATTTATAAATAAGATGATACGGTGGATGATGATTGGATTATTATTTAAGGAAGTTGTTATTAGCATTTCAAAAATTACATTCTACACTCCAAACTTTCTATATTTGGAAAGAAAAATACACTTGTGAAAAGTGTAGAATGAAATTTTTGGAGTGCTAATAACATTTCCCTTATTTAATTGTTAATTAACATGCTTATATCTTATTGATAACACATTATTTAGTTTATAAATTTAGTTTAAAATGTTGGTTTTCCTACCATTATCCAAACTAATATGCGGATAAGGTTTTGTTTAGACCTGACAATTTTCTACACGTTCCATTAACACAATACGAAATAAACGGATTTCGGATCAACACGATAACTAATCGGATCGTTATCGGATCACCCGTTAAGAATCTGTTACTAACGAGTCCTTAATGGGTTTGTAAGAGTATAAGTAAGGACAACGAGCATCAAGAGCAGAATTCAAGTGAAAGCAATTCAAGGGTCTAGATAAGGACAAGTGTCACAAGATCCAAAGGAAGTTACAAGGCTGTTAGGATATGGTGCTCAGGTTGTTAAGGTTGTTAAAACTGATATACTTCATATCTTGGCTTATAGAGCAAGGAATGTAATAATATAAATACATATAGCTAAAGGTGTAATCGATCAATGAAATACATACAAGAAATACAAAGACACCTTCTCTGAAATCTCTTTGTCTCTCTCTCTCTCTCTAAGTCTCAGTTGCTTCAATCTTCACATGGTATCATCGCCGATCCGACTGGCGCTTCCGCATCTCAATCAAAGCTTTCATTTCTTCTTTCTACCCTCTAGTTTGCAAATTGTTTTGTGATAAAACAAAAATTGGCGTCAGAGTATTACAGAGCGCTTCCACAACTTAGTCTTCTTCTTTTGCATACCAACTGTTTGTTAAAAGGTCTCAGTGAATTTCTTGTCTCACAACTCAACAATGGTTACTGCTGATCAGCTACGGATTGTTCAGTCTCCAATCACCAGTCTTATCTCTACCATTTCTACTTCTGTTACAGTCAAGCTTGATGATTCTAACTACTTAACCTGGAGTTTTCAGATTAAACTGCTCTTTGAAAGTCATGGTATTCTGGGGTTTGTTGATGGATCACGAAAATGTCCTCCAAGATTTGATAAGGATGCTACAACTGAAGGGATTGAAACAGATGATTATCTTGTATGGAAGATGCATGATCGTGCTCTTATGCAATTAATCATTGCTACTTTGTCTACAACTGCAATGTCCTGTATAATTGGGAGTAACAGTTCTCATGAAATGTCGGTTAATCTCGCTGAGCGATTCTCGACAATCACGAAAGCTACAATCTTTCAGATGAAAACTGAGCTCCAAAACATTCAAAAAGGGTCTGAATCTGTCTCTGTGTATTTGCAAAAGATCAAAGATGCGAGAGATCATCTTACTGCTGCAGGAGTCATTTTTGATGATGATGATATCATCATTCTTGCCCTGAAAGGTCTTCCTGCAGAGTTTAACACTTTCAGGTGTGTTATAAGAGGCAGAGAAACTGGCATTTCCCTAAAAGACTTCAGGTCTCAATTATTAGCTGAAGAAACTACAATTGGTCAATATTTTGAGTCTTCCCCATCCTTTAATGCTGCAATGGTTGCTGGTACCAACACTGACAAAGGGAAAGCTCTAGTTCTTGATCAAGATTCTTCTCATTCTGTTGAGTTTGGTTCTAGCTCTGGCATCAATGATCAATCATACAAGAACAATGGTGGTGGTTCCCGTTCCCCTGGTTATAATTCTGGTGGGCAGTATTTTACCAATGGGAGTCCATCCAGCAATTTTGGAAGTAATCCTCAAAGTTCTTACCACTATGGCGGTTACAAGGGTAACAACTTCAGAGGCAAAGGAAGAGGAAGGTCATATCAGTCTGGTTCCCGATCTTATAATCATTCACCAAATCCAAGTCCTGGAATTCTTGGTGCTCTAAGACCATTTCAGTCTCATTGTCCAGATCATCCATCTGAAATACCAACTTGTCAAATATGCAACAAGAAAGGGCATGTTGCAACTGACTGCTTTCAGCGACATAGTACACCGGTCTCCGCTTCTCATTCTCCGATTCAATGTCAAATTTGCTGGAAGTTTGGTCATTCCGCTATTCAATGTTATCATCGAGGAAATTTTGCTTATCAAGGCCGGCCACCAACCCCAAATCTCTCTGCAATGCATGTTCAGCATCAACCATCTGCTCCTGAAGAACAATTCTGGGTTGCAGACACGGGTGCAACATCTCACATGACCTCCGACCTAGCTAACTTGGAGTTGGCACGACCATATCACGGCAATGACACGATTACCACTGCAAGTGGTGCAGGTTTACCCATTTCTCACATAGGCTCTTCCAAATTGCATACTTCCTCTCATACTCTTGTGTTGCAGAATGTTTTACATGTTCCACAGCTATCTCAGCCTTTACTATCAATTTACCAACTCTGTAAGGATAATAGATGCCGATTCATATGTGATGATGTTTCTTTTTGGGTTCAGGACAAATTCACAGGGAAAGTCCTTCTCAGGGGGCTGTGTAAGGCTGGTTATTATCCTATACCTTTCCACATTACTCCGAAGCTGCCATCTGCATCATCTCAGTTTCACAAATGCTTTCTTGCACAACCTGTTAGTACAAGTCTATGGCATCAAAGGCTAGGACACCCATCTAATGCCATCACTTCTGCCATACTACATCAGCATCAAGTTTCTGCATCTTTAGACACTTGTAAAACAGTTTGTACACCATGTCTAGAAGGGAAATTTACCAAGTTGCCTTTTTCTTTTCCCACAACTAAATCTGTACATCCCCTAGAAATCATCCATAGTGATGTATGGGGCCCTGCTCCTCTCTTATCATATGAAGGGTTTCGATACTATGTAACCTTCATAGACGAATGTACACAATTTACATGGATTTTTCCTTTGAAATATAAATCAGAAGTTTTTGCTATATTTGTCAAGTTTCATGCGTTTGTGTGTACCCAATTTTCTGCCAAAGTTAAAATTTTACAAAGTGATGGTGGAGGAGAGTATATTAGTTCTCAATTTCAGCATTTTCTCACCACCAATGGTATTCTTCATCACAAATCCTGCCCACACACTCCTGAACAGAATGGATTAGCTGAACAAAAACATAGGCATATTGTAGAAACTGCCATTACTCTACTTCAAACTGCTAAGTTACCTAATCTCTTCTGGTTTCATGCTTGTGCCACTGCAGTATATCTAATCAATCGCTTGCCCTGTGTCATTCTTAAAATGAGGTCTCCTTATCAACTGTTATATGGTCATCTTCCACACATTAGTCATTTAAAAATTTTTGGATGTGCATGTTTTCCTCTATTGAAACCATATAACACTTCCAAGTTACAACCAAAAACAGCTACTTGTGTGTTTCTGGGCTATGCAGGCGATTATAAAGGTTTTCTATGTTTAAATCTTGCTCAAAACAAAATGTACATATCAAGACATGTGCTTTTTGATGAATCCAACTTTCCATATGAAAAGTTTTCTGTTTTTGTCAAACCCTCACCTTTGGTAGTATCATCTCCATCATTGCATCATTCTCCGTCATTACCTTGCATTACATTGACTAATCAAGTCACAACATCACTTCATAATCATTCATCCTCATCTCATAATACAGATTCAATACGTTCTGCATCTAGTACTCCAGATTTCTTGCCTGCATCTAGTGCCTCAGATTCCTTGGCTGCATCTAGTGCCTCAGATTTCTTGGCTGCATCTAGTGCTTCTGATTCCTTGGCTGCATCTGTCCCACATTTGAATTCATCTCCCTCTCCAAGTGTTGACATACCAGGTACCATGCCTACATAGTATCCCATCCCTGTGGATCCTGATTTCCAACCCGATCATCTTGATGTTGTTCTCTCATTACCAATGAATGTGCATCCTATGGTAACACGTTCCAAGAATGGTATTGTCAAACCAAAGGCTTTCTCAGCTAGCATTGGTTCTCAGTCACCTGTCTCCGAGCCAAAGACATTCAAGACCGCTTCTAAAGTTGTCGAATGGCAAAGTGCAATGCAGGAAGAGATTGATGCCCTTCATTCTCAACAAACATGGTCCCTAGTTCCTCTTCCACGTGACAAGAACTTGGTTGGATGTAAATGGGTATATAGAATCAAGAAGAATGCCGATGGCACTGTGGCACGTTATAAAGCTCGGCTTGTAGCCAAAGGGTACAGTCAAGAGGAGGGTGTCGACTATGGTGAAACATTCCGTCCGGTGGTTAAACCTACAACCATTCGTCTTATTCTTGCCTTGGCATCACAGTTCCACTGGCAACTCCGGCAACTTGATGTCAAAAATGCCTTCTTACATGGTGTTTTACAAGAGGACGTGTACATGGAACAACCTCCCGGATTTCTCAGCACCCAGTATCCATCTCATTATGTCTGTAAGCTTCACAAGTCCCTCATGTATTCTGTAATGTATGCAGAGACTTATATGGAAACAAATCTTCATCATGAATCACATGCCGAGAAATGATAAATTTCCTAGACTTTGGATGGAAACAAATTACTCCTTTATAGCCTAATGCATATCCCATAAAGACACATAAATAAGCCCTTGGTTGCAATTTATTAACAGTGTAAGGTCTAATATATGGATAGACAGCAGTACCAAATACTTTAAGACCTTGCAATTGAGAAGAAACACCATATAGTCTTTGATATGGGGATTGCATGCCTAAAACCTTGCAAGGCATTCTATTAATCAAAAAAATATAATGTGCA